GATATATGTGGATGTATGTGGATATGTGTGGATATATGTGGATATATGTGGATGTATGTGGATGTGTGTGGGTGTATGTGGATGTATGTGGATATATGTGGATGTGTGTGGATGTATGTGGATGTATGTGGATGTATGTGGATATCCTGCTGCTGCCATATCCTGTGCCAGCACCCCGGGGGGGGGGATGAAGCACCGCCTGGGGAGGGGATGGGGGTGGGGGGCACCCCTGCAGCACCGGCAGCGGCACCCTGGGCGTGGGGAGCCATAGGTGGGGGGATGCCCGTGGGCTCCTGCTGGGTGTTGCTGCCCCACGGCACCCCCACAGTGTGTGTGTGTGTGTCCCCAAACACAGCCGTGCGCAATGACCGCAATAAGAAGAAGAAGGAGGTGAAGGAGGAGGCGGCCGACAGCCCTGAGCTGAGCCCGGCGCTGGAGGAGCTGATCCAGAAGGTCAGCAGGGCGCACCAGGAGACCTTCCCCTCACTGTGCCAGCTGGGCAAGTACACCATGGTGAGTGTTTGGTGAGTGGGGGGGGCACCGTGGGGCTGCTGGTCACACCGTGGGGCTATTGGTCACCCCATGGGGCTGCTGGTCACACTGTGGGGCTGTTAGTCAGCCCATAGGGCTGCTGGTTACACCATAGGGCTGTCAGTCACACCGTGGAGCTGTCAGTCACACTGTGGGGCTGTCAGTCACACTGTGGGGTATTGATCACCCTGTGGATCTGCTGGTCACACTGTGAGACTTCTGGTCACACTGTGGGACTGTCAGTCACCCCATAGGGCTGCTGGTTACACCATGGGGCTGGCAGTCACACTGTGGGGCTGTTGGTCACCCTGTGGGTCTGCTAGTCACCCCATGGGGCCGCTGGTCAAACTGTGGGGTTGTCGGTCACATCTTGGGGCTGTCAGTCACCCCATAGGGCTGCTGGTTACACCATGGGGCTGTCAGTCACACCGTGGGGTATTGGTCACCCCATAGGGCTGTTGGTCACACCGTGGGGCTGTTGGTCACATTGTGGGGTATTGATCACCCTGTGGGACTGTCAGTCACCCCATAGGCTGCTGGTTACACCGTGGGGCTGTCAGTCACACCGTGGGGCTGTCGGTTACACCGTGGGGCTGTCAGTCACACCGTGGGGCTGTCGGTCACACCATGGGGCTATCCGTCACCCCATGGGGCTCCTGGTCACACAGTGGGGCTGTCAGTCACCTCATAGGGCTGCTGGTCACACCATGGGACTGTCAGTCACCATATGGGTCTGCTGGTCACACTGTGGGGCTGTCAGTCACCCCATAGGGCTGCTGGTTACACCGTGGGGCTGTCAGTCACACTGTGGGGTATTGGTCACCCTGTGGGGCTGCTGGTCACACTGTGGGGCTGTCAGTCACCTCATAGGGCTGCTGGTTACACCATAGGGCTGTCAGTCACACCATGGGGCTGTCAGTCACACTGTGGGTTATTGGTCACCCTGTGGGTCTGCTGGTCACCCCGTGGGGCTGCTGGTCACCCCGTGGGGCTGTCGGTCACCCCGCTCTCCCTGCAGAGCTCGAGCGCCCAGCACCGCGTGCAGTTGGACCCGGGGCTTTGGGACAAATTCAGCGAGTTGGCCACCAAATGCATCATTAAAATCGTGGAGTTCGCCAAACGCCTGCCGGGCTTCACCGCGCTCAGCATCGCCGACCAGATCACGCTGCTGAAAGCCGCCTGCCTGGACATCCTGGTGCGGGTTGGGGGGTGATGTGGGGCACAACGTGGGGCGTGCAGAGCTCGGCGCTGACCCTTCATCTCCCCGCAGATGCTGCGGATCTGCACGCGCTACACCCCCGAGCAGGACACCATGACCTTCTCAGATGGGCTGACGCTGAACCGCACGCAGATGCACAACGCCGGGTTCGGGCCGCTCACGGATCTGGTGTTCGCCTTCGCCGGGCAGCTGCTGCCCCTGGAGATGGACGACACCGAGACCGGGCTGCTGAGCGCCATCTGCCTCATCTGCGGGGGTGAGGGGGGGTCGGGGG